CCTGTAATAGAAGGTTCAAAAACATATATAGGATTATGAGCAGGATACGTACCTCTCTCCAATGATGGTCCTATGTGTTCCTTTGTCCTAAGCCTTTGAGGTAAGGGCTTCAATTTGACCTTCGGGACATTCTCTAGAATCCAATCCGCTTTATTCAGCGTCCCCATGCTAGGTGGTGGCTCTCTGGTCTCTTGAACGTCTTTAATAATCATCGTGGAGGGTTCGGAGACGTTCGTAGAAGAATCGGGTGCGTCGATGTGAAAAACGTCCGATTTGCTCAGAGACTGGATCCGGTCCGATTCCAGGTGGAATCGGTCCGTTTCCAATTTGTCTTCAATTTGGATCCGGTCCGAATCCAGGTGGAATCGGTCCGGATTGACCTTCTGTAAAAATCCATCTTCGGAGGCACTTTGGATCCGGTCCGATTCCAGGTGGATTCGGTCCGGATCAAGCTTCTGTAAAACTCCAATTTCGTCCGATCCTTCGTTCAATGCTCGCGTAAGCTCTCGGATATCCTCCCAATTGCTGTATATGCTCTCGTTTGACGCTAGGAGAGATATCTCTAAAGGATCGACTTCCCGAAACTGATCGGAGACTTCTTGAGTGAGGATTTCATGCACATCGACATAGCATGCTGAATCGGTGGTAGACGGCTGTTTCATGTTGTGATCTAAGGTGAACTCTACAGTCTCGTCACCTATCTTCATTGTGAGACGACCAGCACGAACATGAACCACCGCATCGGCCGTGTTTAAGAACGGGCGGCCTAGTATAATCGGTATCTTCGAGTCTTCGTCCATGTCTAAAACAACAAAATCAACGGGAACATAATAATCCCCGACTTTCAATGGGACATCCTCGAGAATACCTGCAGGATACTTGATGGATCGATCTGCTAACTGTAGTGCCATCCTCGTCGGTTTAAGATCTCCAATGTTGAGCTTCTTGTAGATGGACAACGGAAGCAAGCTCACACTGGCACCCAAATCGCACAATGCACGATCAATCTCGATGTTCCCGATTTTGCAAGGAATCGAGAAACTACCTGGATCCGATCTCTTTCGTGGCAACTCATGCTGTAGAATCGCATCGCTCACCTCTGTGCTCAAGGATACTGTCTCCTTCCCAATCACCCTCTTTTTAGTCAAGATATCTTTCAAAAATTTTGCATAAGAAGGGATCTGGAGTATCGTCTCGTAGAAAGGTACCTTAACCTCTAACTTCCGAAGCATATCAACAAATCTGGACAACTGTGTATCCTCAGTATGCTTCTTCAATCGAGAAGGGAAAGGAATGGGTGGTACATAAGGTGGAGGAGCTACATATGGTGGTTCGGCTTCCTCTATATGCACCTTAGGTGTCTCGTGATCTATGACTTTCCCTTTCTCTTCAGCAGTGTATCTGGACTTCATCCTTTTTTCTGTGGTCAGAGGGACTGTATCATGCAGGTTCTCTCCATTTATAAGCTGAATAGCATTGACATGCTCTCGTGGATTCGGTTCGGGCTTTCCAGGAAATGTGCCCTGCTGTCTAGAGGGTTGTGATGCAAGCTCTGCAATCTGCATGTCCACATGCTTCAGATGAGCCTCAACTCCATCTAATCTCCTCTCAAAAGTGTCTTGCCTTTCCCTTATGCTCTGTACCTCGGTTTTCAGCTCCGTAAATGATGTCTTCTGATCGGCCATCAGTTGGGCAATCATCGTCTTGATGTCTGCTTCATCGTTCTTTGCAGGTTGATGCGCTCGGTAACCCTGATCCTGCTGCCCGTACCCAGGATTCTGTTGCGCGTATCCCTGATTCTGCCCCTGAAAACGTGACTGAGTGAAGCCTGGGGGATTCTGAGGGATTCTGGGAGCGCTCTGCTGCTGCGCATTCAATGCTCCGCTTGGGTTTCCGTAGGACAAACCAGGATGGTTCCTAGGCGCGCTCGGGTTGTAGAGGTGTGAAGGATTCTGGTATTGATTCCTTCCTATGTAGTTGACGTCCTCAACCGATTCTTCTTCTGATGTGGCCTGATTAACCAGAAACATTCCAGGCTGGACTTTGTGCGGGATAGATGTATTCTTGAGTCCCATATGTTGTTTGATCGCCGATAAATCAGACATGACTGCTTTCAAAGCAGCGGACTCGCCCAAATCTACCCGTCCTGTAGAGCGTCTGATGCTTTCTCCTGACATCCCTCTTGCCTTAGCCATCTTAGCAATCTGCATCTCTAGGGTGTCAAAGGGAATGTCATATACACTCCCTCCACAAGCTGCGTCAATCCATGCTCTAGTATCGTCTTTCAGTCCGTGGATGAACGTGGAAAGCAACAGTCGCTTATCCATGCCGTGGTGTGGACAAAGGCGTTGGTAGCCTTTGAATCTCTCCCATGCGTCATACCGACTCTCATCACTCTATTGAGTGAAGCTATGTATAGCTCTCTGTGCGGCTCGGGTCTTCTCTGGGGGGTAGTATTTCGCCATGAATTCCTCCTCTAGCTCCTCCCATGTCGTAATCGAGTTTGGCTCAAGAGTATAGAGCCAATCTCTTGCCCGGTCCATCAGTGAAAAAGGAAAAGCCTCCAAGTATACATCTTCGATCGTCATGCCTCGTGCCTTTCTGACTGATCTGCACAGCATCTTGAACTGAGTCAAGTGAGCAATGGGATCTTCTGTGGGCCGCCCTCTGAAGCTCGCCTGACTGAACATCGTGATGCACTGTGGCGGTAGCTCAAAGCTGTCTATGGGCGGTCTGTTGATGCATGATAGGAGTTGGGTGTGCTTCGGTGCAATGTAAGAACCCAAAGTCTCCTCTGCAACGTAAGTAGCTTCGCCCTCGGTTTGCTGATCGTAGAGCGGATTCATGTGCTCTTGATTCTCGTGATGCTCCTCATCATGAACCGCATGGTCGTGCGAACTACTTGACCTCGACATAACTCCTCTTCTCTGCTGATTTCGGATGTCTCTCAAGGTACGCTCAATCTCTGGATCGTAGACTAGGTCTTCTCTCCGAGTAGAGCTACGTGTCATGCATTAAAATCCTGCAAATCGCAAAGAAAAAGAAGAACTCGATGCCAAGTGAAGCCGCAAAAACCAAAGAAAGAAAAAGAAAAAGAAAAAGAAAAAGTAAACAAGCTAAGATCTAGAATCAATAAAGACCTAGAAATAGATCCATCGCAATGATTTTCTTGCAAGACCTAGAAAGACCTAGAATCAATGAATAGATCCAGAACAAGATTTTCTTGCAGATGATACATAATAATAATAATAAAAATACTAATAACATTGCTAATCCGCAATGATGATATTCAAATCTTTGGTCTGCTAATAATATATATATATATGCTCTCACCAAAACAAAATTAACCATAAATGGGCTTTGTTAAAACAGTTTTTTTTATAGTAAAATCGAAATAAATTTAAACATAAGTCGGCTTTATAATAATAAAATATTTTAGTAATCAATCTCCGAATAGAAAAAAGTTAATGAATAGAAATTTTGAGGTTAGAGAAGGAACACGCAAGAGTTTGCTTGACAAAGGAAACTTACAAAATTACGATAAGAAAAAGTAATAATTTTTCCAAAGTTTATGGTTCAACAACTACAATAAGTTCTAGTAAAAATGGGTAGGAAAGAAAAAAAAAATTCTTATAAGCATCATGTCCTGAACTTGATCATTAGACTTCAATGTAATAAACCTTATGCCAATTGAAATTTTTATTCACAATTTCATATATAATTTTGGAGATTGCGTACGTCATCCCTCGAGTAATTAAAAAAATCACAAGTTGTATAAATTTGTTGTTATTGTAACGAAATCTCAAACTGTTTTTAGTGTGTGATTCGAATAATATTCGTTATTAATAATGAAATAAATTCAAATTGATAAATAATACTGTTTTTGGCGGAATGATTAACATCATAATGAACAAAAGTAAATAGGAAATATGGTAATAATACGTTTAAACTCTTCATAGTTATTACTAGCTAGTATTTATATGTAATAAAGCAAAGTCCCCTTTTCTACAAGAGCTCCCTATCGGATCAAACGATCGTTAAGACATCAATTTTAGCTCCAATTACATCTTCATGTTTCCACTTTCCACTTCATGAAATCAAGCCAAAGAAATCTCATTTCAATTTTGATAAATTGACATAAAGTGCATTGAAATGATAGGATGATTAAACATGCCATTATTTGTTTCAAATGCAAACTCTAATACATTGATAAAATCCTTCAAAAATAAATAATAATAATAATAATATCAATGATTATTCTCTATCCTTTTTGTTGCTTTACTAATTGTCTGTGCGAAATATTATTGTACAAAATATAAAAGATCACGAAAGAAAGCGAAACCATGGTCTAAAACTCGAATCCTCATACATGCATACAAACAATTTCTATCATATACATCATAAATTCTCATGTATATATATAATTGATATGTAAGTTTGATATACAACCATATACAAATATCTATGTATCATCGATGGATCTATGGATTCCAACGGGAAAACAAAGGAGAAAATGTAAGAATTAAAAAAAGGATCAAAACCCTTCTTCCTTTTCGGATTTCTTTCTTGCCCTTCCGCTTTCTATGTTTAATGATAAGAAACGTTAGGAGGAGAATACTCACAGACAACCTCGGTGGCGACTTCCTTCCGGTGGAAATTTCGGTGGCAGCCGCAGGCGGCGCACGAAAAGGCTCCGGCTGTGCCTTCTCCACCGCTCGCCATGAACTCCCGACAGCCGTCGACGGCGTAGCCGCCGATGTTCGCCGCGTGGTTCTTCCGACACTCGCCGTAACGAACGACACTGTTCACAACCGACGTCGACGAAGATGTCGGTGTCGGGTTCGAGATCGAGCTTCTTCTTTGCTTGATCACGACTTGCCTCTTCTTCATCGTCGCGAGATCTTCTCTCGAACGGATCTCGACCCACCAAAAAAAAAAAAAGGAAACCCTAGTTTTCGCTAAGTGGGAATTTGAAGCGGCTCTTTGTTCATCTAAGAGGATGGTTTTGGAAACGAAGTAAAAAGGGTACGATGCTCTTTACGCCCCTTTAAATATGATTTCGCCAACCATATATCATACCTTACATGACCTCTCTCACGGCCTTCTCCACAAATCTATATTTTATAGAAGGGTTTAGTAATTTAATTATATCAGCTAATTAAGTGCCCCGGTCAAAAAGTATGCGAAACACTTTTATGGACTAATTATGTGTGTGTATATATATATATGATAGATAAAAAAAAAGGTCATATACTATGACTGATGGGCGGTAGATTTTTTTTTGGGTCTAAATTTTGACACTTGACTAAATGACATAAGGTTTTTTTATATATAGTTTGATAGTTATAAATAATAAAAGTGTAGATAATTAATGAAATGCATATGGTTAAAGAGCGTAAATAATATGCACATATTTCTCCATTATTTTCATGTGTATAGATTTATATTAGAGCATTTATTTTTCAAGGCCCATAAATGCTAGCCAGGTCATAAAAACGAGGACTTAAAGCAAATAAATAAATAAAAATAGAAAATAAATAAATTCATGAATTATGAGGATCCGAATCACTCCAAAAGACAGGCTCACACAAGCAAGCGACATTGACAGATACTACGATCACATTATGCATCGCATTTTTAAAATGGTGTCGTATCTTATCCTATTTGTATCATATATACCGTATATATATATATATATATCATCTTCAAAACAAATAGATGGAAAATAAGCTAAAAAGGTAAATTCTTGAACAAGTATTAAAAAGTATAGACATTTTTTTAAAAAAAAAATCTAATATATTAAAAGTTTAGACTTTTCTCAAACTATTATGATCATTTAGGATCGAATTCAATTAATTTAAATTTTAGATCTTTTTTTTGTTTTGAAAGAGTTATAACCATCTATTATTCCTTCACTTTGTTCTGCGCTAATTTACCGTTAGATTTTTTAAAAAAAATTTTGAATGTTATTATTGATAATCTATTTTTATGTTAGTTTTTAAAACCTCAATTCTTTTTATATAACCCTACAAATTCAGAGTATTTCTATCATAAAATTGTCTATATCCATTTTTACAAGTTATAAATCTATTACGAAGAGATGTTAAAAGTAAACAATCAGTCGCATTCGGCGTTTTACGAAAACATATTCTACAGTTTAGATTCTGAAACATCAAATGCAATGGAAAAAAACGTTTTCCAGATTTTTTTCATTTACCTCTTCCACTCTACCGGTGTCGTCTTCACTGCAAAATCCAAAACCGATCAAATCGTTAAACCGAATTGGTTCAAGCCGGTTTAGTTGAAACCGACGTGAAAAGTCAACACGGGAAAAGCAAAGAAAAAACAACTGTCTCGTCTCGACCCGACTCATACTAACCGTTTCCTTCTCGGGAAGAAAGAAGCGGCTTCTCGTTCTTGCTTCCCGTTTTGCCGCCCGAGTTTGAGGCTCTCACCGTTACAGGAGAGTGAGAGGTGACCCTGCTGCCATTAACCGAAGACGGAACGGAAGAGAATGATGTCGAGTTACGTTGTTTTTCTCAGCCCGTTCTCGCCCGGCTGATCAAGGAGAGCCTTGCAGCCTCGAGCTACTTTGATTCCGGTTACTCCCTTGAAACTCGGGTATACAAAAATCTGAACCCTTTTTCCATGATTTCTGATTTTCTTTACCAGCTTAGCTCTCCTTACTATTTGGTTTCGGAGTTTTATCTTGCTTAGTTTCCTTTACCATCAAGGGTTTCACCTCAACTTGGTTGATCGATGATGGCTACAATGCTACCTCAGGCGGCTGCTCAGTTTCTGTCTCGTATACTTCTTGCTTTGTCTTTTCATCGGATGCGCTCACGAGTTCTTCCTTCTTCTTTTCATCGGAGGCATTCACGGGTGGTGGGGATGAAGATGCAGTGGTATTCTGATAAGAACACCAAAGTAATTCTTACGTATTGATATCAAAACCCAACACAAGATAACGGTTTGATTATGGAAAGCTTTGGCTTCTCGGCTTCAATCTGTAGATCTTGTTGAGGTTGGATAGAGTTCTCGGCTACGGGGTTGCGTACCTTCCTCAAGCTCCTCTTAACTTTTTCAAACTCAGTTTGAGGATTTTCCACTGCCTGTAATCCTATCAGACTGATGGCTCGGAACTTTACAGAGGCTGTGTCTCGGTTTCTCAGATTCAAAAGATGTCTGTACACTTCTTTTGAGCTTTTCTGACAGAATTTTTCTTTGGTTGAGCAACTGGTTTCCAGACGCGAGAAGCCGACCAGTTTTCGACCCAATTTGAGATCGAGTTTTGATCAGAAGAATCATAGCGGAAGTGCAACGACATCACTTTTGGTGATGAAGCAAGAAGCTGAAACGGAAACCACAAAAAAAAAACATCAAATCCCATTGCTGTTGCACTCTTTCTCTTCATTCTCTTTTTTCCCTGACAGCAAGAATAACAAATGGATATATTGAGGAGTATACCTTTAGAGCGAACGTGTTCAACGCCACTTTCTTGATTCCCAGGTATGTACGAGTATCTACAGGACCAGAAAGCTTGTTCTCCTGATACAGAAAAGGTCAGAAGAATCCAATACTACAAAATTGTTAGTTCATGTCGGAAAGCGTTCATTTTCGAGATGAGTGGTTTGTTCGATAAACCATCAGTGACAAGAATGCAGAATTGAAGTTACAGTTTTGCACTAGTTCTTCAACGAGGTGGAAAAAAGTTGCATGATCATTACCAATGGTAGCTGCAGCCTGCATTGCCTCTTAACTTCAACTCCAATGCCCGAACGTCTGACCTCTCTTCCCCGAGCAAGTGCTTGAAACCTAACAATTTCCATTACACAGCAAAGTGCTGCAACAACTCGCCTCCGAACTAGGTGACCACGAATAAGTGCCTGAAGCCTTATTATCCCTTTGAGCGCCCAGAAAACATGCCTAGCCTTCACATTGTAAAAGCTCATATCAAGATACGTAAAAAACAGTAGTTACAAGTAAAAGAGCCATGTTGCTATTGGTGAAATGACAGATGCAAGTCTACAAGTCAGTAGAGGCATTATTAAAAGAAATCATCAACAGACATAGTAACCATAAATAAACATACATTTAGACTATTGACTTAACTATAAAAGCTACAGCGAAAGATGGATGTATCAAGCCTGTCGGATAGACTTGTACGGTTGTACCCACAGATTAGTTATAGAAGAAAGAGACCTGACAAAGATTGCAGATAGCTGACCGTAACATGTAATTCGGACATCAGGAAAGGTGCACATGGTGGGAAGACTGTGTGATTGAGTGGCTGAAGTATTACCAAGTAACCTTGAAACACAGCCTGGATAGCTGCCGCTGCATTCTCTTGCCGAATTTTCTCTTCTTCCAAAAGTGTCTCCTCGGGTACAGGAGTAGCTCCTTTCGAATCTGTAGGTTGGCCCTCGTAAACTTGTACGTCATTATCCGATACTTTTTCAGCTCCAATGTTTTCTATTTCTAACATACCACTGCTTGTATGGGCAACGTTGGGCACATCATTTGGGATGGAATGGAAAATCTGAAACCGCATCATGTTCTTCGTTCACAACTCTCTGCACATGATACCCACAGTTTGAAACAGAAAAGAAATTAATTTACCTACACAGATGAAATCCCTTAAAGCTCTGAATAAAGAAGAGTAAACAAGGAAAATTGAACTGAAAGTGAAACCAGCATACTGAAGTAGACAGAAGCATTTGTATTTGCGCTATTAAGGTGATAAAACTGTAGTGAACCAGCCATGTATGTAGTCACTTCAAGAAAAGAGAATCCATGATAGCATGGCTAGGGGGCGACTATTATTTGCAATCAAATACAGTCCTATTTTGCGATACAAACCCGAAAGCCGCATCTACAAACCAACAAGAGGACACAAAAATCCATGAAGAGCTCTTTGAATAGGTTACCTCTTTGCCTTTGGAACCACTGTACTTAGAGGACTTCTTTCCTAGGATTGCATGTTTTATCCACCTTGTGGACTTGCCCATGATGTTCAAAACCGAAACGCCTGCATTTTTCGGAGCAATGAAACTTATCTATGCACAATATTGAAAGAAAACCCACTAATGTACCAGACAAAATAGCAAAGGAATAATCCAAGAAACCATGAAAGGAGAAGTTACTTTCAAGATATAAGGAAATACATTCCCGAGATTGTAACCTCGAACCCGAAAGAAAGATAACACATTTCTTCAAGAAAAACTATAGTTACCCTAAATCAAATAAATTTAAGCAATGTAATTCAAAGAAAGTAATGCAATATAAACACGGGTATTACCGGCGTGGCAAAAAAACCAGATCTGGAACTCGCTTTGCAAGTAAAAGAACCCTAGTCCTCAAATCCTCCACAACACCTGAGCTCCAAATAAACGGAAAACAACCAAAAAAAAAATAGGCTCTGAATCCCGAGATCCCCCCAAAAATATTAGGTTTCAGAGCCGTACTCCAGCAAATTCCAGAAATGCCGGTCTCGAATTCAAGTACCACCAGTGGGATCTCGTGTTCGAATTCGATTCTGATTCGGACACGACAAGTAATAAGGAAGATGAAGACACCGTGAGCGAAGACTGCGTTATACAAATGCTTCCATTTGCGCTCTCTCTCTCTCTCTGCGCTTCGGACTTCGGTGATAAATGCGTTAAGGATTTCTTTTTCAATCCAAAAGCTAATATCTTACGCTACGTTGCTTTCTAGCCGTTAGATTTTCTTGTTTCTTTCTTTTTCTTCTCGTTCGTGAGATTTTTGAAATTTAAATTTAAATATTTATATTTGAAAGTTTTGGGGTTTTATTACAAAAACAAAAATTAATATTTACAAGGACAAACTAACCTTGCTAATTTATTGGATAGATGAAACGGGGAGTTGCACGGTAACACAGCGATATAATTAGAAGAAATTTGTTGAAAACTCTTTGCAATGTAAGTTTTTCTATATTTACAATATATATTTTAAGTTAACTTTTAAAAAAATAGCCTTAATTTTATTATCATCCAAAATAAAGTAAATTTCTAAAACAACAACATTATTATCTTATATATATTTTTTTATTTATTCTAATTTTTCTCCTCTAATATATTTCACTTATTTTTATCTGACTTACATTTTAACATATTTACTTTATTTATTTTCGCTTTCCCATTTTTTTATAAATTATGTTATCTTTACAGAAAATTTATTTATCTTAATAGAATAGATTTAATGTTAAATATTTTTTTCAAAATAATGGTAATAAAATTGTTTTGACGAAACTTTCGTATTAAAAACAACATATTATATCATAATAGAAAAAGTCACATCAGATAAGGCAAGGCAGTTTTTTGTAACAATGCAGGATATGTGCGTATATAAAGGGAGCGTGGGGTTATATATGCCAACATTTTATATTAAATAAACTAAAAATAATAAACCATTTTTATAATATAATGAAATTGTAATTAATATTTTATAATTTAGTTTCAAAAAATTTGAAAACTGGTTTCCATGCGAGACAACCTTTAGAACTAGTTTATTCGATACTTAGTCTAATTGACGTATACAATATTTTAAAGATGACATGAAATTAAAATATGCAACTCTACGATCTCGTTTTTGTCCAAAAAAAAAAAAAAAACTCTACGATCTCTTTGAAGTTCCAAGATCGTGGCTGGCCCATATGAATATTACAATTTAAATCCGAAGAGGTTAGAATGTTACCAATATTATATTATTTATATATATGACTATACATGTATAATATATCATTTTTATTGAATTATATATATTAAATGTTTGCTTGCATGCCAACTGCCAAATCCACCAACTACCATTTGGGAATAGTAACAAACAACAACAAAACTAATTAACAAAGACATGCATTTTTTTTAAATATAAAATGCAAGAGACTAAAATATGCATTCTGTAATTTGACTAAACTTTCGGAAATTAAAATATGCTATTTTTTGTTTTTAAAATAGATTTATTAATTTCATTAGTATACTCTAATGGGATTTTGAAGCGTTATTGCATGAAATACTAAATTTTGGAGTCAAACTTTTATAAATATATATATATATATATATATATATATATATATTGTAAGTTAAAAGATAGCCTAATGATACATTTGCAAAACCCAATAAGTTAAAAGTCTAAGTCATCACAAATTCATATCCATTTGTATTTAGTAGGATGGGACATTTCATTTTGGTTATTTAAAATCGAAATTAACAATATCTAATATTTAAGAGTTTTTTAGAATCTGAATAAAATCAATATTGACAAAACCAAATTAATGCCGAAATATCTTAAAAACATTACTGCAAGTACATAAATTTCAACACGTGTAGCAACAAACGCCGAACATATCGGGTCCACATTTGCGTCTCCGACCAAAACTCTCGTCAATGCCACTTTGTTTGTAGATCTAAAGCGTTGAAGTTGAATACTTCTCTTCCAATTAGTTGACCATTATTTAATCGCTGCACATTTGTTTTAAATGTACTGTTGGTATATATTTTAAAAAAAATGATTAAACAATACACCATGTTGAAATATATTGGTCATATACTTTTGTTAATTACCGAATAATTACTTTAATAATGCAATTTGATTGGTTTTTGACCTTTCGAGTTTTCAAGTTGCGTGCTTGTTGGATGCATCGGGGAAACTATTTCGTTTATTATTCTTTTTCTCTAACAAATTTATATATAAAACATGACGATTTATATGTGTTTGTAAATATTTATGTTAATAGTGTTGGTTACGTTGTCTCTCTGATAAAAAAAACAAACAAATATCTTCTAGCTTCTTTTTATGTTATTAATGAGCCGATAACAAATTTATGGATATCAATGGACTATCGGATTGATGTGTAATATATTTGACTATTGATCATTACATCTGTATTATACCGGAGACTGTTGCATCTTTTTTTTGTAAATATTTTATCGAAAGTCAAAGGATATATACATAATATATGTATATATATATGTCTATGCGTATGTATGTATAAGGGTTTTCCAAAAATTAGAGAGGTTATACAAAAAGGAGAAGAAGAATAAGAGGAGAATGGAGAGAGGAGAAGAAGAAGAAGAAAGCAGGAGAGAGAGGAGAACTGTTGAGTTTTCTTTTGATTATTGTCATGAAGATCGCCAAGAGATTATACCAAAGGTATCATAAGAAATAAACTTTCGGTTTATATAAATCGTGTTTTGAGATTCATAATATATGTATAGAGATTCCCTAATATATTGTTTGCACATACGTTTGCAGAGATCTTTCTGTAGATTTTGTGAATCTAAATGGAATCTTTTTAACCACAAATTTCAAAGATAATTCGGGTTTCCTTTTCCCCCTTTTTTAGTAAGACTTATATTTGTAATGATATATTGTGTAGAGAATATATATATATATATATTGTATAGAGAATATATAAAATATTATTTTCAGTATATTTAGTTTTTTTTCTGGTATTTTTTGTGAACGGATTTAATTGCCTTCGTTGGAATTGAATAGATCTAAGTTGAAAATCACCATCTTTAGGTCTATTGCTTCTGTCTCCTTTTTTTTTTTTTGAATGTCTATAGATTAAAAAAAATAGATTCGGTGAGTTCGTCTTTAGTTATTTAATGCAATTGGTTCTTAATCTTGTCATCATCGATCATTCCTAATATAATTTGTATATTCATGTACTGTACATAATTATGTATTTGTTGGGAATTATGCAGGATTAAAGCTATCTATTAATATTGAATCATATTTGTAATGGTATTCTTTCTATACAACCAAAAAGAAAATGTATGTTCGGTTACATGCTTCGTATATGTATATATAGACGTGCACATGCATGTGCGTACGTGTTATATGAAACATATACACAAAAGAGACGTTAATTATGCATGTAGTGGATATTGGCAAAAGCCCTAGACATATACATGAATCACAGATATAGACTCTCTCTCTCTCGGTTACATGCTTTCATATATATATACACACACACATACATACACACACACGAGCTGAATAATTGGGCTTCAAGGATTTTTCCCCCCCTTAGTGCATATATATGCTCACCATATATATATATATGTATGTATGTATTAATTGAGTGGTGTTGTTAATGATGTTTCAATTGAATGTATATATGTAGGATGACAATAAGCTTGTGTCCACAAAAGCTGAAATGGATGAAGCTAAAGAAGAAAACCGAAGGCTAAAGTTATCTTTGAGTAAAATCATGAGGGACTATGAAAACCTTCAAACAGAGTACAATCAAATGGTTCAACAACAGTCAAAGAAATCTCAAGAAGGGCATGCAGAAGAAGGAGATGGTGATGATGGTGGTGGTGGTGAATTTAATAAAGAAAGCGAAGAGTTCGTTTCGCTAAGTCTCGGACGACGAAAGTCACCGACCTCTAGCGGTTCGATGAGGAAAGACGGGAAGAAGAAAGGTTTGGTAATGGCGGAGAAAAATGCCGAAGAGCATGATGGTGAAGGGTTGAGTATTGCATTAATGGATTACCAAGCTATGAATCCATATGGCAAAGAGGAGAAAGAAGAAACATTAGAGATCAATTATAATAATAATGATGATAATCAAAATCAAAATCAAAATCTAGAGAGTAGTTATGGGTTGAAGAACTATGGAGATGATCATGATGAGGAGCTTCTGCAGCAAAACATTGTTAAGAAACCTAGGGTTTCTGTGAGGGCAAGGTGTGATGCCCCAACGGTTAGTACTTCATCTTCACTTATTGGTATATACATACATATCTATATATATATATATATTATTTGGCAGATCTATTGAGAAACGTAAGATTGTTTTTTCACTATAATTTTCTATGTCTATAATTTTATAAATTCGAATAATGAAATGATTTGTCCTGAAATTAAAATAAAACAAATTTGTTTTGAGGTAATTATGCAGATGAACGATGGATGCCAATGGAGGAAATATGGACAAAAGATAGCAAAAGGGAATCCATGTCCACGAGCCTACTATCGTTGTACTGTTGCGCCTTCATGTCCTGTCCGAAAACAGGTAAATTATAATATCATTATGTTTTATCTTTCACATTAATTAGTTATAATACCATTGCATTCATTTACATAGAATATATGCATAGTTCCATTAATTGATACGTGATTTGGTCGTTTTATAAATTGAAAATATAATCTTACTAAAGATCCAAATACATTCATTAAAAAAATATTCTTATACTGTTTAACTGACCAATGATGAGTTTACATAAATATGAACATAAGCATATTAGTAAATTTACACACACACACACACATATATATATATATATATATATGTATCATCCGAGCTTATGCAGGTATAAATATTCATAACCTTTTATTACATGATATTTAAGTTCTGTCCGAATGATTTAGGTGCAAAGATGTCCGGAAGATATGTCAATATTGGTGACAACCTATGAAGGAACACACAATCACACATTGTCAATTTCAGCCACTCCCATGGCCTCAGCCACCTCGGCCGCCGCCTCCATTCTCCTCTCCGGCTCTTCCTCCTCCTCCTCTTCCTCGGCCACCACCGCCACCGCTAATCTTCATGGCCTTAACTTTTATATCTCAGGCAACTCTTCAAGACCTAAATCATCGTCCTACCTCTCACCCTCCAACTCTCTTTCTTCTTTGGGTCATCCCACCATCACTCTAGATCTTACGATGTCGAATTCTTCATTGTCATCATCATCGTCGTCATCATTGCCATCATCACAACCATTCATCTCTCTTCTCAAGAACTTCTCTTCCTCCTCACCAAGTGGCATCCCCAATTCTTTTGCTCAACGGTCTTATCCTTACACTAATCTCAGCTTCTCAACCAACAATGTCAATTCACCGGTTACATCCACAAATACATTGTATTGGGCCGGTCATGGAGGTGGCGTCCGTACAACGTACGGAAATACAGTTTTGGGGAGTACTCATCAAGTGCCTTATCATTTGATCCAAAATAACCGAACCGAGTCCGGACCTTCAGACCCTTTTGGAAGATCGTATTCGCAACCTATCCAGAGCAACGTTACCAAGAACATGAATCAAGCGTCTCTACCGGCCGAAACCATCGCAGCGATTGCAACCGACCCGAATTTCCAGTCGGCTTTGGCGAATGTTCTATCGTCGATCATAGTATCAGGTGATGGGAATGTTGATTTGATCAAAGGTCAAGGTGAGAAGAACCCTTAGCCATGGATCATATATATATATATATATATATATATATATATATGTGTGTGTATAGTTTTAACTCAGAAAGCCGTAGTGTAAAGCGTAGCTTTGTTTTCAACAAAAATGCATGAAGTGTGTAGAATGTTTTAGGCTCTCAAGTTGAGGATACGTTTTGTTCCTTGAAACAAATAAGTACAAAAATAAAAATAAAAAAATAAAAAAATATGTATTTATTTGTATTTGTATTTTTATTTACGATAGAACTGACGTGATAATTTTGTTAACCCTCGTATCAGTATTCCGACGTGTCATGCTGTTATCGGAATTTTTTGTCAAACTAGTCAACGATTAAATATAGATGAAAATACAAATTTCTAGGAAAGATAAATGTTTAAATTTTTATACGAAATAATTTTATAAGTTCATAGTTTTTTTTTTAAATGGGATTAGCCTTTTATCATTAATTTTTTTTATTGAATTCAAATAATTTTATAGATAAATCGAATCAACAAGGATGTAACTTTTCAGAAGATTCTTATTTTAAAATACTATGAGCCCACGGGCCCACCTGAGTAACCCGCGGTCAACCTACATAGCTTTGTGTATGGCATACGACAATCTCGAAGTCAGTCTTTGGATAATTTAACAGAAAAAAACACAACCACCAAAACTCAAGGAACTATAAAGTCCAAAAAGACATGGCCCTATCCAGTTCATACACGTAGGTTTGTCGAGACGAGAAACCAAATAAGATTCAACGACCATGAGAGGCGAATGATTCTGTAAATGTCAAAGAAGCCAAAGAGTTGGTCGTCAGAGACTCGTCTGCTTCTTGGGAAGCACCGCGTCCTCCATCGAAATCTCGAGATTTGACGATATCAAGCAAGTTATGCGGAAGCTGAGCCACGCCGTCCAGGAACTGGACGACACTCGACATGCTTGGCCTCATGGCCGAGGTGGGATGAGAGCAGAGCAGGCCCAGTTTCAAAACCAACGTTACTTGTTCCGCAAGGTACTGTTGCCCTAACTTCTCATCAATCGCCTGCAGAATATCTCCGTTATCCCAACAGCCTAATACCCGATCAGTTATAAGCATCTCTTTCGGGGATGCTCGGGGAACGATGGGCCTTCTTCCGCAAGAAATCTCTAGCATGAACACGCCGAAAGCAAACACGTCAGAGCTTGTGCTTGCCTTCCCTGTTCTCGCAAGCTCTGGTGAGATGTATCCGAGTGTGCCTTTTTTGTTAAAATTGAAATTCTCCTTAAGTAAAACATCTTTTTTGCTGAAATTGTAATGGAGAGTTCGATATTCAACTTACCTGCCACGTGGGAAGTTTGAGGATCGATTCCGTGATCGCATAGCTTCGCAAGGCCGAAATCTCCGAGCTTTGCGTTCATGTTCTCGTCAAGAAGAATGTTGGCTGGCTTGATGTCCCTATGGATTATGACCTGCACCCATTGTTGATGCAGATAACACAATCCAAAAGCTACATCCTTGATGATCTTGAATCTTTGCGACCATTCAAGACTGCTCCCGTTTGTTCGGGAGTAGAGGAACTTGTCAAGGCTTTCTTTCTGCATAAAGTCATAGACCAAGTAGAGTTCGCCTTTCCGTCTGCAATAGCCGAGGAGCCGGACTAAGTTCGGGTGTCTGAGACGGCCGATGGTCGCAATCTCGGCCACAAACTCTCGCATCCCTTGTCTTGAATCGTGAGAAACCTTCTTCACTGCTATCTGTATGTTGGACAAAGGCAAACTTCCTTTATAGACTTTTCCAAAACCTCCTTGTCCGAGGAGCTCGCTATTCTTGAAACCCTTTGTGGCGATGTAGAGATCTTTGTAAGAGAATCTATGGGGACCAAACTGTACTTCCCAGTCCTCGAGGATTTCCATGAACTTTTTCCGCTGATGAAAAACCATGAGGACGAAAACCGAGACAATGAAGAGGGTGATGGCTGATAAACTCAAACTGATGGCCAAAACCCTCTTCAGAGTCTGTTGCTGCCTTTGCTGATAACCGCGGGGAACTTTCGGAAGGCGGGAGATGTCTATGTTGGGAGCTGTCCCATTCATCTTGAATGTCCAACCCAATATATAGTGAGACGCGGTGAGCCTACCCGTGGATGATGTAAAGCCAACGTACATAAACTCGAGTAAATAAGGAGAAAGATCTTCTACCAGAGAAAGAAGAGGGATCTTTGGCTTAGGGACATGAACAGGATGAAGTGTGACATTGAGCCTGTTCTGTGAGCTGTCGTATTCAACCCAGATCTGCATCGGTTGTCCATCGCCAAGAACGAGATTCTCCAAAAGTACCGTCATCTTTGAAATACCCTGCGGCAGAAGCTTTCTTGGACATTAGGCTATTGATGTCGATAGCAACATGGTTGCCGTCAATGTCACCAAACTCTTGGTTTCGAAACATGTCAAGCTCAACCGCGACAATATGATTAGAGAAATTCCCCATGTTGGTTTCGTTGAAGAGGCCTAGATATTGCCTGGGGAGACTATGATGCAAGCCTTTGGTGGGAGAGATGACGAAGGCAAGTCCATGTCCCCTGAGCTCTGAATTCTCGGGAACGATGGCGAACACGAAGGAGGTGGAGAAGGAGAAGACGGACCCATTGGCAGAGCCCTTAAACCGAACCGGGGAATTGTAGAAAACCTGACCAAGTAGTTGCGTAGACGAGTTTGTCAACTGGAACAAGCCATTGGATTTGAGATCAGCAACACCATATGGTGAGTACAAGAATCCGTTGAATCCGAACTCTCCATCAGTTGGGTCTTCGCCGTTGGTGGGTATGAACGACAGAAGAATCAACGACAACAACAACAGTGGTATCATCGTCGTCATCAGCTTCGATCTGTGTATTGTCTGGACAAGACGATCAATGTTAATCTATGTTGCGACAACGAGACAAGAACTTGGTATCTTGTTCAATGACATAATTGCAAGAAGGTAGATATCATGTTACCATCTTCAGAAATTTCATGGAAACTAATGCTCGTAGAAATTTTGATGCGCGTGGGTCCAATTTGTGGGAAAATAAATATTTTTTATCCATAAAACCCAAAGTCATAATCCAGTCAAATCTAATTTAATATAAAAAATCTTTTATAAACAAAAATATTTAAGAATAATTGGATCAAAGCGGAACTGAAATCCACATATACCCCGATGGAATATGGCAGAGAACAATTGGTGGTCAAACAATCAAACAACAAATTTAAGAACAAAATGGTACGAACAATTTGAACACATTATTTTTGTTATACCCTTGTTTAATCGTAATAATGTTTTTCATCTAATTAAATTCTAGTTGTGAAACGGACCAGAAATACTGAAATCGAGATTATCGGAATTTTGTTTTTTGTACGGATAAATTATACAGATTGTAAAATATATTATATTATATACGTAAATGTAGACTTCCGTAAGTCTAAATTTGGTAATAAAATACAGAATAACGTGATTTTGTGAGGACAAGAAAGGATATCTTCGAATTTTTTAAAGAAAAATAAAAAAAATTGTATATTCTTAAAAAAAATATCCTAGATTGCGAAGAGGGACGATACGACTAACGACTTTCACTTATAATATTATGTGGTGTTTGATTTTTCCACAAACACCATAAATTAAATATGACATTTGCAATTTCTAAAACGTTACGAATGAATTTTCAACCAATTGATTGCGTAGTAATAACTTGTTTATAGACATAATTTTTTTTTTTTTTTTGTTAAAGGTTGTGTATATTGAATTAAACTTACTTGTACATCAAAATCAGTTACAGACAGCTAATTAGCAGTGGATGAAGGCTAAGTAACCCAAAAAAAGAGGAATACAGAGGACCCAAATGAGACAGTGATTCGATCAAAGAAGTGTTGAGAGCTTCAGGAACCTGAGAACCAGATTTGTAGTAGAATGCTGGCTGTTTCCGGGTGAGTTAACCATATCGCAGCCATCTTTGTGCGGAAAGCACGATCTATGTCTTTACGCAGCACCGCCAAGTCTTTGAAAGTTGAATTGTGGAGTCTTGAATTTCTTTCAGACCAAATAATATAAATGATTATCTGCCATGATATGCAAGCTCCCCAAAATCGGTGTTTGCAATTCCACCTTCCTGTTAACCATGTGAGAGTGTCTTCCCAGGTTGTAAGAGTGGGCAACGGTCCCCACCTGTTCATAGTGTTTCGGAACAGTTCACTACTCATGTGGCATTCGAAGAGGATGTGATTTCTGCTTTCTATTCCTCTTCCGCAGAATAAGCATGACGATTGTGTTTGGATACCCCATTGCATCATTCGTTCCCTTGTTGGGCATCGATCAAGGACAAACAACCATGCTATGAATGAGTGTTTAGGAGTACGGAATCTGCACCATACAGTTCTATGCCAGGGAACCGAGGGTAGTGTTGGGGTAATTGCTTGCCATACCTCTTTTGCCAAGAAGTTCTCCCGGATCTTGTTTTCAACTGTCCAAATTGTAGTATCCTCTTGATCCGAGAGTTCCTTTTCTGACAAGAGAACGTAAAGATTGGTGAGTTGATCTGATCTTGCAGGAGGTAAACACCAAGTTCCATCCCTTTGTAGATCTCCCACTTTACTTTGCAAAGGGATACCCAAACGTGTAGGGCCTGCACAACCGAGATAGTCAATCATAGGACCTAAAGATGACCAATTATCCCACCAAAACCATGTATTTAATCCATTCCCTATCGATGTTGAAATGAAGTTTCTGGCTTTTGCTCGCCCTTTGAGCAGTTTCCGAAAGATCCATGAATGACCAGCTTGTGGCTTGATACTCCAAAAGCTGCGCGTTCGGATGTATTTGCTTTTGATCCATGCCACCCATAATGATCCGTTTCTAAAGAATAATGACCATATCAATTTTTGAATGGATACCTCATTCCAAGTCTGAATGTTTCGCAGCCCTAAACCTCCATTTTCCTTTGGTGTAGTGACAGTGTTCCATGCTACCTTAGCTCCTCCCGCAATATCAGGGCTCCCCCTCCATAGGAATCTGGAAGACATTGAGTTTATTTCCCTAATGCATCCTTTTGGTAATACAATAATTTATAGAATGTCATAGACAAATTTAAGAGAATAATTTGCAAGATATATTGTATAAGATAATATTGTACATTTAGATGAAGATTGAGGAGAGGAGTATTCATCTATGCTTTCCAAATTTTTTGGAAGATTTAGTTAGTTCGAAGATAAAGTAAACTTTCGTATTATAAAAAATAATTTATTTTATTTTTGTGAGTTTTCATCAGTTTTGTTCACTTTTCTGCTTTCTTTTCGATTTATAGTTTTTTGTTGAAATGAAAAAACAAATATAAAAATTATTAGAGGTAGATATGATTAAAAACAATTAGTGACACAATATTAATTTTAAAAAAATCAAATATTACTCATATTAAAGAGTTTTTGAGGTCGTATGTTAGTGTTTGGAATTTATGGTATTTCTACATTATATGGGGATCAACTCAGTTAAATATATAAGGGCCAATAGTAAATAATATTTTAAGTGAAAATTAGTAAAATAAATATTATATTTGAAAGTTTATTAAACATTTTTTCTTGGGTAGTTGTATCATCTATATTGGTTTATCATGTCAATCTTGCAGTCATACGGATTTTGACATGATCAATTAAAGCAGGTTATGATCATATATACATCACAAGTATTGTTTTCTTGGACATAGTCAAAATGGAATAAATTTTCAATTCTCAAAATAAAGTCATCGCTTTGATTATTATATATTCTAAAAAAGTATAATAATTGGAAATTTAAAATTATCAATAATATTATATATTTAATGTATTGACTCGAAAGTTTCAATAATCATACAAATTAAATATTCCAAAATATTGAAAGACCTCTATATATATATATATATTATTTAATGGGTTTTATGAAATAGGCCCATTGTGCGGCAAGCCAACGGCCCAACAAAAAACATACGAGGTGGGCCCACTTGAATCAGCGTCACAACAAAGTGAAAACAAAGGTTGGGCCCACCTAAAGCAACACGTGTTGTACCTACAATTACAATGCATACAACATTCTCGACGCCATTTGTATGGGGATCGAATTTAAACTGATTTGTGTTGCTAAAGTTGCTTCTCGTCATCATGGAAAATTTATACCACGTGCATATCTACTCTAGAGATTGTTATAGTTCACTATTTTTTTTTTCATTTTTAAAATTCAAAAAGGGACTAAATTACAAATTATATTAAAAAAAGATTTTGCAAACTATATTATTTTGAATTCTCAAAACTACCATTAAAAAATAAAAATAAAAACGAGTTGGATAAATTAGGGTTACATTTTTAAAAAAATTTATCAGGCTTTGAAAAAAAAAACTTTTTTGTCTCCCTCGTAAAATTGAAATTTCTAAATAATAATATTCTAATTTTTTTTGTTGTTGTTGTTGGTATAATTGGTAAAGACCCCAATATATAATGGACAAGTAGAAAATGTGACGATGGTTATTTCGAGGAAATTAAGGTTGAAGTTGCATAGCCCTTCGCTTCCCTTTCGAGGTAAATCCATTCTCAGCTCGAACCAAATTTTCGAGTCGTCCACTATATATTTTATACCGAAATATATATATATTTTAAAATACAAATTCTTTTTCGTTTCTTTCTTAAATAATTCAAAGTGGGTCCCTGTGCACAAAATGGTCCCTAGAAGAAAACGAAATCCTAAATGTTCTGTTTTCAATTATTGGCGTTTTAGTTTTAAAAAAAGATTATTGTTGTTTTGGTCACGTGCTATTATATATATTCGGAAGCAATATGTGGGAATATAAAATAAGTTGACTTTGCCCAAGTGTATTTTGTAACTACTTTATAAACTGCATATTTTTAACTGCGATTTGTTTGTTAATAACCTTAATAATAATAATAATAATAATAATAATAATAATAATATCTTGTGTTTTATTTACAAGAATATATAGCATATGCTGCCCTTCCAATCTCTGAATCATCATACTATCTCATCTTAACATATATACACATACATTAAACATACATTGAATAATAGATCATTTTATTCGAATAGAATCAGATCTAAAAAAAATATTTGATCTTGTATAATTTTTAGATTAAAATAACTGAATTTAAATGGAATATAGAGATAATTAAATCACACTTTGACATTAAAAAAAATTGAAATGAATATTTCAAATTTTAAATTCCAAATATGCACCAAGTTCTGAAAGGAAGTTGGAACTTGCGTATGAAACACAAACAGAATATATTTTCACAAAAGTTGAGAAAGACATGCAATATTTAAATTATTTTCTATATTTCGGGGAAACTTTGGTGATTTTAATTTGAATATAAAAAACAAGTCAAGGAGAGGAAAGTTTGAATGATTTTCATGTCAATAGACGTATGACTCGAGTTTATTATTAATAAAAATAGTGTTGACATTCGTTCACGTATGAATATGTGTGTGAATGCTAGAAAACAGTTTCCATTAGGTAGCAAAAAAATGAATACAAAGACTTTCCTAGTATTGGGCCCGTAGACTTAATTTGTTAAGAAGAAACTATATTAATTGTTTTTCATATGCAATACATATAATTAATACTATATATATATATATATATATATATATATATATCAAACATTTGCTATTCAATGTCGATTAGATCGATTTAATTAGGCAAACCACATGTTGTTTTCCAAAATCTTTATTCCTAATTTTGTTTTATAAATTAAGTTTTAGCAAAGATATTGAAAGTTATTGTTTTGTTTTCTTTGGTTTTTCCTTTATACTAAAATTTAATTTTGAATGTAATAACAATTATAAATTTAAAAAAATTTATGAATAAATAAATTATTTTAATTAACCATATATTATTGATTTATTACCATTTTATAAAACAATTTAAAATTATTAAAATAAAATATTAAAAATGATTAATTTTTAAAAAACACATTTAAAAATTTTAATTTAAAAAAAATCTACTTAAAATCTCAGGTATCAACAAATAAAAACACAACTATATTTTGATAAAAATATACAAAAATATTTTTATATATTTTGTTGTTATATTATATGTTTTTAAATTAGGATTTTGTAATTAATATTTTTTGTTTTATAACAATTTTGCTTTAGATTCAACTATAATAGAATGCTAATTCAAGTTTTTTTGTTGAAAGCTAATTCAAGTTGATAACTAACTCTTATATTGAAAGAAAAGAAAAATAACACGATAAATGTTTTTTTCATGTAAAACAATTTGTAGAGAGGAATTGTGATGGTTTAACAGCTACATGTGTATATAGACAGAACATGATGTTTTTCTATTCATATCCAAATTTAAATATAAATTAAATAAGTCTATGTATATTTTAGTTAATTTAGGTTTCAATATAAAAAAGAAAAATATGTAATTATACAAACTTCCAATAATTTGGTTACACAATCATTTATATTTTCAGAACAAATAAAATAATCTATTCTACCCAAAAAAATGTATTTTTTTATATGTTGAAGTTTAAAATGTAAAAAAAATGATAATGAAATTTATGTTCTAATAATGAAGTTTAAAAGAAATATATTTATTATTTAAAAATGTTTATTAGTCGGTTGTTTAATTTTATTGAAATCTGATTTATTGTCAATGAAATATAATTTTAAATCTTAGAAAATTAAATACTAAATATAATTATTTAGAAATGGGTCAAAAGTGTAAGATTTTCTTATTTTATTTTAAAAATATAATTTACTATGACAAATGATGTGGCAAATTTGGGATAATGATTTTTTAACAACATCGTGGGGATAATTTATAATCATAAATAATTTGCCTGATAATATATACTTTAAACTAGATTTGAAACTCACGAATGAATCAAAATCAATTTGATATTTTCCCCGGAATTCTAAACACCAAAACATTAAACATCTTACTCTCTTTTATAGTATTTGAAATTTATAAGATACACATCAAAGAAATTGGAGAGAATATGATTATGTATTATTAATATTTAAATTAATTTGGATGTATCGGTTAAATTAGATTACAAAATCATGATTGGTGAATGAAAGTTTTGGTGTATCTATAGGTTACGGGTTCGAAAATTTATACTAATGGTTTCATTGATAAAAAAAATTATTTAAAAAAAGAAGAAAATGCCGAGAAAACACCAATCTTAGTCCGTTCGTGACGTGTAAGAAAACTTTAAAACTAAATATCGAAAACTTTGGACGAAATTTTCATCAAATTGTAGAGAAATTTTATAGGAATTTACACAGAAAATCAGTCTATAATGCAATGCATGGGCCCCATGTCCAATCTCCGTGTCTATGCTATATATAATTTCAGGTTCATGCATACATAAAAGCAGCCACTCTCTCTCTGTTCCTAAAAAAAGAACAAATCTCTCTCCTTCTCTCTCTCTGTCTCTCTGGTCACTCTTTCATGGCTTCACTTCGAGGTTCTTCTTGGCATTTTCTGGGCACAAACCCTAAAAAATGCAGCTTCATGAGTTCTTCATCTCAATCACAGACCAAACTCTCCACACGAATCTTCAACCAGGTTTCTGTTTCGGTCTCTCTTCATTTCTGGGCTCTTTCCCGTGTCGTCTTGTAATTAACCAAACCCCTGTTTTGAAACAGAGGTTCCTGTCGTGTTCGATGTCGATGAACGGCTCTGAAGCAGACCGAAAAACGCCGCTCGGCACGGCGGAGACAAGGACCTTCCCGGCGGTTCTTTCGCCGGAATATGCGGCGGAGAGGCTTATATCCGCCGTGTCGGATCTCAAATCCAATCCTCCGCCGTTCTCCTCCGGCATCGTCCGGTTACAGGTACACCACCGTGGATTTTTCCTCGCTAAAAATATCCGAATTTGTGGGTGAGAAGTGAACTTTCGCCACGTGGAACGTTTGCATTGGGCTTCGTGATGTCGTCTTCGTCCCATGTCGAAGACATCATCATCATCATCGATGAGTGATCAAAAGTTACCTGTAACCGGACAATGCGTCGTAACTAGATGATGCCAATGGTACATGTAGTTCGAATAATAAATAAACGTATCTAAATTAAATTACTTCAAATTTCATTAGATATAAAATTTTAAATCAAATTTATTAAATTATTATTAGACTCATATCAAACGCAAAAAAAAAAAAAATTCAAAATTATATTTCATTATCCGAATAAATGTAAAATAAAATAATATCTAATACAAGTCTAAATATATATA